GGGGGTTTGGGAGGCCTGCGCGCTACTTCGTTCATCTCCTCTGACAGGTCACTGCTTCGAGACACTTCTGGCGTACCTGCCTCGGCACTTTTCTGTCACGCTGCTTCTCCCCTTACCAGCAGCTCCAATGCTCACGACGCTGAGCTGGGCTGTCACCGCTTGGCCGCCGGTGGGGGGGTTTGGGAGGCCTGCGCGCTATTTCGTTCACGCCTAGAATCTCTCAGCGCAGATAATGAAAAGAAAACACGTATGGAACATCATCAAACGCATGAAACGAACTTGAGGCATTAGACCCAAAAGTCTTCCACGTCCGGTGAAAGTCATTGAGAACATGTCTCTGTTTTGGCCATCTTTGTATCCAGATCCGTCACACAGAAAGAAAACGAAAGAGAGAGAGAGAGAGAACCACAGAAATAGACATGTATGTGTTCAAACGTGTTCCACTCTCACTTCCTACGAGGTAGAGGCAAGTACAAGCTACTAGGAACAAATACATCGCTACTAGTAACAAGAAGTAGTAACAAGAAGCTGCTAGTAACCAAGGGCGTCGCTACTAAGAGCAAGGACGCTACTAGGGGCTCCTGGCCTTACTACTTACTACTAGTAAACAAGAAGCTACTAGCAGGAAACCTACGTTTCGTTTAGTTTCGTATTTCGTTTCGCGTTTCGTTTCGTTTCGCGTTTCGTTTCGTTTCGTTTCGCGTTCGTTCCAGCTGCCTCTCTGCTGCCAACCCTGTATGACGCTTCCATCGCCGACAATGCAGCGCTGCTGGGCAGTCCGATTGCAGCGCGCCTCCACGTGTCGTATCTCTCTCAGTACACACATGCAGACACATGCAGACACCCACACATGCAGACACCCATGCACTGCCTCAACTTACACGAACACACACATACACAGACTCACATATACACACGGACATAGACACACACACACACAGAAACCCACACACTACCTCAAGTCCCTCGACTTAACACTTCACACTGCACACTTAACACATAACTCACACTCTGACATCCTACGTGATGAAAAATGCTTTCGGGCCACTCGTCGTCTAGTTTTCTTTTCTTTCTTCGCTTTTGAAGTCTTTTTGTTCTTCCCTTCAGGCTTGTTAGGTTGGCTATTAGGCTCGATTAGTAAACGCGCACCTTTCCCCCCCGTCACCCCCTCCCGTCGAACAAAAAGAGAGTGCGCCGACTCGGCTTTCTGTGTCTGCCAACTCCTGTCTCTAAGGAATCTGTTACTACATGTACAAAGCAGGGGGCCATCCGTCTCACCAGTGGTGGAGAGGGCTTCAAACGTACCTGCTGACCTAATTGGGGGAAACAGTCGACGCACTTGTGTGTCGGTTCCTTTCCTTCTGTTGTTCCTGTTCTAGTCTACCCTACCCGGGCGGTCAAAGGGCGGTCTAAGAAAGACTAAAGTCCCACTCCCTAACTATTGCACCTAATTAAGAACCGCTAAGTGGTCAGTAACTAGTTTTTGTTGAAACCTTCTGTTGATCGGACCCAGCATTTCTTGCCGTTCCCTCAAGTCAGGGGCTACAAGTATTCAGTAACTAGAGTGCTAGGTAGTCAGTAACTAATTTCGGGAACTTCGAAGCTGATACAACTCTTGCGAGCCCTTTTCCAAGTGTGTGTGTGTGTCTGTTTGTTTGTCTGTCTGCCTGCCTGGCTGTCTGTCACTCGCTCGCTCGCTCGCTCGCTCGCTCGCTCGCTCGCTCGGTCGGTCGGTCGGTCGGTCGGTCGGTCGGTCGGTCGGTCGGTCG